CTGCTAAAAAATCCCTACCACGTTCACTGTGTCAGGAGTGGCTCTGTTGCACAAACCAAACACTAGGTATTTTTAAAATGCAAACCACACATACAAAGTAATGTGTGATGGCAACATAAGAGACAAATGAGATAGATGCACAGGCACAATGTTACTGAACTTTAATACAAATTGTCTGTAGGAAAAAATTTATTCCATTTCCTTCTTTCTAATCAGCTTGTGTCATATACATGTTTTCTTCCAAATTTTTCAGCACATATGCATGCTTTAAGTAGAACACCCTATTTGCATATTTTTCCTTTCAAACATTTTTCAGACTGACTTGCCATTAGCACAACACTGAAAGTAATTCTGTTGTTTCCCCTACTAGAAAGTCTGACAAGAATCCCAGATATATATTACCTCTAACTACTGCAATTATCCAGGAAGTCGGTATTTCTATTACAGAATTAAGTTCTTCATAGTCCACATTTTCAGAATGTTCTTTAACCCTGCATCTTTGAGACTGATTCTCAAAGCAGCTGAATGGCTCCAACCAAGTCTAGTATCCTCCAGATTAGCCTAAAATATGGACTGTTAGGATTATGCACAAATTTCATTGTATACTTGGTTCAATCTATACCCAGAGAAAAAGTATAAAGAAACAGAAGGAAACATTTCAGAAGTTCAACAGTACGCCAACAAACTAGACTTGCTACAGAATAAAGAATTATACCCCTTTTACAAGTACTGTAATTCTTTTTGTCCATTTACAAATTAACACTGCCCTTTGGAAAAAGAAATTTTATTCCTAATCCTACTTCCAGTGAACTGAAAGATTTTTCCCACTGAGTTTAGTGGCAGTATAACCCAAATATTAACATGCGTTCAAACAGTTATGCTAGCCTTCTGGTGAGGTGGCCTTAATTCAACCTCCTTCATACTCTACCAGTAGTTCTGACTTGGCAAGTGTTAATACTAATCTAATACTAAACAGAAGGTTAGTATTAGTTTAGTACACCAATATTAAACAGAGGTTTATCTGCATATTGCATGTTACACTACTGTACTAAACAGTAAACATAAAAATAACCAGAGAAACTTCTTGACCAAAACACATTACAGTTCAATCAAACAAGACAAGGAAGATGTGACAAAGAATATAAGAAAACCGATATAACTTGTCTGAAAACAGCTAAGTGGCACTATAGAAATAACTTGAAACACCTGAGTTTCAAGATTATGGGTTAACGCCCCAAAAAGTGGTGTTAAAAATTCTGAAGAGTTAAAACTCTATCAGGAAGTAACTGCCAGTATTCCTCTCACATTTCAAGAAAACAAAGATTTCAACAGGTAACTAAAATATTCTCATTTTAAAAACATGAACACTCAAATCTCAGAAATTAAGAACAACAGAAGATGAATATACTTTATAAAGCTTTATATACTTTATGTCTCAAACACCTTTAGTTTCAAGCAAAACTGATACATTTCTACAGGCCTCAATATGCAATTTTACTACACTATTCCCAAATTATCAGATATCAGTATTTAAACAGAAAACACTAGCAGCCTTTATAATTCTTAAATCTAGTTAAAAAACAACCCAACCAACCAACCCAAAAAAACAACCCAGAAAATTTAAAAAAAGATGGAACACCACCATAATTCTTAGTGTTTCTATAAGTTGATATCTAAAAAAACCTGGAATAGCAAGTTCTGTTTTCTATTAAAATCTCTTTTCCATTGCTCTTAAAATTCTTGCATGTATTAATTCATTCAAGTCTCAAGCCAGGAGCAACAGGTTTTTATGGCATGTTTCCCTAAATATTAATATCAACTAACCAATGGCTATTACACCAAGTTATATTTGTTGTCAGTGCTGTATCATATCCAGTAAAGCTCACACAGGCAACTTCCAGAAAAGCTACCACACAATTAGATCTGAAGTCAGCAAAAAAGACTTACAGATTTTTGCATCATTGAAAAAAGAAAAAAGAAAAACGGGTTGTGATTGATTTCAGACAACTGCATCCTACCTCGTCTACACACTCAGCCCCTCTACCATATTCTGCTGCTACTTTTGAAGACACTTGAAAAACAGTTAAGATAATTAAAGCAAAGACCATGAACGGAAAGAACTGATGCCACTGAGAGAGAGAGACGTGCAACACATCTCTTGTCAGCATCTTAGGTTAGCAGCAAACCACTACATCCTTTACTACCTGAAACTGCAAGCTGATCTGTATCATCTGCTTCAAAACCCCTTGCATTAATGCAGTCTAAAGCTCACAGATTGGAAAAGCAATAAGGTCAGAATGGAAAAGCAGCAATCAATATACTACCAGGAAGCAATCGAACATCAGACTCCTAAGGTCCATTAGCATTCTCGCATTCAAGGAGGCTCACTACCCTCAGAATAAGTTTCCGTAAACCCAGAGGCATCATGAATGCACTGCTCACCCCAAACTGCGCTCATCTAAACCCAGCTTTCAACCAGCTGCCATCCCTTCCCCCACCACCACCGCCACAATGCTCTGGGTTGCCTGAAATGAGAGCAATGATGTGCATCAAGGCCACATGCAACTCTCCTACATATTTTGAAGATGGACTCATCCCCACTCCCTGACCAACCCATCCCTAACAGCAATATTTTTTTCCTTGCGGAAGTATAAAGCATAAGCCCAAAGACAGGCCTACATACAAGTTCAAAGAAAACTCATTATTAAATTTTCAGATCTGTAGATGGTTAATTACAGATGATGTATTTAGCATTAGAGTAGACACAAAACTCTAATGACCATGGTTGTGAGGAGTGGATTTTTTTTCTCCCTTCTACATCAAAAAAACAAAACAGCAAACTTCCAAAACATTGAGAAGTGCTAAACTGTTATTTTAGGGGATGAAGAAACTACTTGATAATCAATTCCTCAAATAGTCCAATCTTCAGTTTGGCAAAAGACTGCGAAGCTATTTGATTGCAATGCCAGAGATGCATCACATCAGACAGTATGGAAAGGACCGACAGGCTAAGCACTGAAAGGCTTTAAAATAGCTGAGAGAGACATCAAAAGTGAAGGAGACAAGTTAAGAAACAAGCAAAAAAAAAAAAAAAAAAAAATCCCACAACAAACCCTATTCTAAACAGGGTACCTAAAAAAAAAAAAAATAAATAAATAAATCAAACCAGAAACTAATTAACTGGAAGAAGAAAGCATACAGAAGAAAGCCTTTCCCGTCTTCTGGCGTCCTCAAGACTGAAACCTGATGGAAAGCAAAATGGCTTTTCTTCCACATGTAAATTATAGTCAGGCTTCAGCAGGGGTATCTTGTGAGCCCCCAGCCAGGTGAATCAGATTAGGGCAACAATGATAATCTACAACCAGCCAGAAGTTTTAACAGATGAAGATACTGCATTCCTACAACCTTTGTCCTCCCACATTCCAGAGGGGCAAAAGGAAGAACCCAAGAAGAGTGCAGTCCTACCTAACTGGATTAAAAAGACAATCTCCACCCCTTACACTTAAAATCCCACCACCCTACTAGATGAAGTATGTTCCTCACATATGTTCCTCAATTGTATAGGGAAATGGTTGTTTCCTAGGAAAACGTTCTTTTTTAACAAAGTCTCACATTCCACAGGAAGAAAAATACTGTAATCAGACAAGTGTAATGTGAAAGAAATAGACAAAAAAATCCCTAATTGCTCTTCAGAGCTTGTGCAGGCTGTCATAGAAATAAATACAACAGACACACTTGAATGACACTGCTAATCTGACAGTTCAGGTCAATAAAGTAAACCACTATATTGGCAGCATTTGTCATTTCAAGAAACTAAAGACATTAAAACTATTTAAATGAATGGATACACAAGCATTTGCACACACTTTAATAAAGCC